CAGGAATTTACTTTCCACTAATTACCTATGACACTCCACCAACCTCTTGTCCTCAGCGCCACAGTTTTCAGCATGGCGGATGAACAAGCACACAAACTTTGGTTCTCGTTCTTTGAATTCATTCCACGTGACACTGTTAGTCATAGCGTTGAAAGAAAACCCAGATTTTGTCAGGAATTTGTGCTCTTTGGAATTTATAACTCCCTGCTTGTGTCAAATGCAAACCTTTTGCCAATTACTTTGCTTCCCCATTTTGATCATAATATTTACACAAAAATCACACAATATGTGATAGCAAGAGGTCAAACAAATCCCTAAAAAATCCACTAGACTTATGCCATCCAATGACCATTATCCTACTACACCTGCATTTTGAAGGTTGTTAATAAATTACATATGTTGAAAGCAGACTTAACACTATATGTTTAATAAAGTGCCAAGAATTATCAAGATAAATTTTTTACATCATTTGCTTTAAGACAGAAACTTTGAAGTTTTACCAGACCTGTTGCTATAAGACCATGCTGACTGATGTTAATTTCTTTCCTTCAGAGCTCTGCAACAGCCATTACATTATACAAAGTCATCTCTTTACAGTCAAAACAATTGCACAAAAAAAAGGATTATGCAAGTCAACTGAAAGAGATGAACCAAGGTCTTCTCATAAAATAACCTTAACTAAAAGCTGGGGGATAATGTCAAATACATCATACTTGTATCATGTATCTGTCTCAATCAACAACGGAACTTATCTGAGAAGATTTTCAGCAAAAATATCAATGGACAGATTTACACACCCCTGGCTCACTAATCTGTTCCCCTGGAGCTTCAAAACTCAATATAAAAAAAAAAGTCACAGAATAGCTTATTTTAATCCTACACTATCAGTCATGATGTATTTCCCTATTTAGTAGGTCTGATTTTAATTGAATTGCTGCCAATAGAGGTTGCACTATAGGAAGCGCGTGGATTTTGTCTACCAGGGTCACAATTCTGGGAAGCAGTGATGGGCGAAAACTAACACAGGTACCTTTTAGACACTACAAACTGAATCCACAGCTACCATTACTCCTCTCAACTTAAGCAAATACTACTCTAGGGTTCTAAAGAGTAAGGAGCTTCATTAATTAGTAAAGATAAGATGTAGTAACACCACAGTTACTAAACATGTACGTTTTATCCTCTTAGTTTCAAATATGTTTCAAATCTTTCTTCTATGGCCAAGAAACATGAGTGCACAATTTGAATAAAATTTTGATTCTATCAAGTACAGATTTTACTCAGCCAGTTATTAAGAGTCTGCATATTCTGTACAAAGATTTTTCTGACATGTAGCACTCAAATAAAAGCATCACAAGAAAGCAGCTAAGACTTCCACTATTTTTAGGGAAGTAGTAAGTTGCTTTAAATGAAAAAGAAAAAATCCAACCCACATACAAGTTAAATTTTTATTTTGGAATAATTGCTTAGTAGCAATGAGAATGTTTCTGTGCTCTCTACAGAGCTGAAAGTCTAACTGCAGATCAATAAATACATGGACGTATCATGAAAGTCAACATTGTGCCTTAGCTCTTGACTCTTCAAAAAAATAACACGAAGCTATGCATTCTCACCTTGACTTATAGAAACTTCCAGCAAAAAAAAAGTTTTCTGAACTTTAACAGTGGCACATCAAAGTATCAATGCCAGAGAAAGGAAACGTTAAAGTACAAACTAAAATTTCAGCGCTGTATTACCTAATGCCTTCAGGAGCTCTTCTCGCACAGCAGAAGTGAACTTTCTGACCAGACACAACGTGGTCATGATAGCAAAGAGCAAGTTGTAAGATAACACAATATAGAAGTTTCCCAGCCAGTTAAACCTTCCAAAGTCTCCAAGCAGATCAAATCTGGTGATTCCTGTTAACATTGCATTAAAGATTTACATCAAAATCTTGATTACGTTTTTTAAGAAACACAAAAATTTCATTCTATTACTTTGTACATATGGAAGCAAATTTCTTTCAGACAGCACACTAAGACACATGGTTAAACACACAAGACAATCTTCTCAAGGCTATTTTCCCCTTCATGGACCACTTTAAAACTAAGACACACTTATCAGTCAAAATGTTTCTTAAGTTTCCTAGTAAAATGCTTGAATAATGTGAGTTGAAGTAAATTGTTTATTCTAAATAAGAATTCTGCTTTTATAATTTCAATAAATAATTAGGAAAAAATCAGTGTTAGTACAAAAACTGCTTGAAATCTTGGTTTCTATGAAATCTTTATCTATCCCAGAGAAGGATGAAATGCATTGTGGGCTTTCTTATTAATAACCACAGGTAGCAAAAACTCTTTCCATGACAGCCACATCACCATCTAGTAAACACTAAGCCTTTGTAAATGTTTTTTCAGAGCTGCTGCTTTTGAAACCAAAGTTTAAAGACATCTTGCCAACTGCAGCTTTTCTCCTAGATCTACCCACCACTGCAGCCACAGAGCATTTGCACAGAAGGAAAAGAGCCTGGCTGAAAGATAGTGCTGACAGGTCGTCTTCACAGTGGACCCCGTAACACTGACACTCGGGCTTTGCGCTGATCAAAGGCCAGTCAATCACTAAAGCTAAGTGAGCAAATTTTTTCCAAAATGTGGAAGCATCTACAAGCTATAGGGTCCACCCCAGAAGGCAGAAGAGGAAGAATCAACCACAGGTTGCTCCTTTGGCCAGATCTACATCAAGGACTGCACTGAATAAAGGGCAGAACACTGAGATGATACCCAAATAACAGCGGTCTAGGATTGATGAGCCATTATATTCCCAAAAAACTTTTGGCACAGATGACCTCAGTGTGATATGCGCTCTCACAGTTGAGACCAACAGCTCACCCCAGAACTAAAATAGCAGCAGAAAACCAGGCAATCAGAAAATAACCCTGGCTCTGAAGTGCCTGGAAATGAGTTTTCTCTCATCTTAATTTAAAAGGGTTTGGGGGCATTTAATCATGACTTCAGTGATAATAAATGAAGAGAGACCAAATTAAGGGTCAGTTACCCCTGAAAGGAAGGTAAGCCTGGCAGTTACGAATCTCATTGTGCCTCGATACCTGAGACTTATAGCCAGCTATCACAATGTTAAAAGGTACACGATGCTTCTTATATTCAGTCAAGTATCTAAGAAAAACACGCTAAAATGAAAAGAAGACTTTTTAAAGGATAAAGAAAAAAAACCCACCCCAAAAAACCTGAGGCTTATCAAAATAGCAAGAGAAGCAGGGAGAAATATCAAAAGAGCACAGAAAGTCTTAGCACAAGAAGAAGAAACTGACTGACTGAATCAACGGGTGAACAGATGAAGGGTGATAAACACGGAGCTGCTGTCACACTTCAAGCCAGTCTCCTTAAGAACATTTTCAAAGCAGCAGAGAGTGTTTTAGTCAAACTGCAGAGCTACAAGAAAATTAAGAAAGTCGAGTTTGAATGTATAGGCTTCCAGATCTTTAAAAGAAAAGAAACAAAACAGGGAGAGCACTGAGTAAAGAGTCCTCTGGAAAAGCAAAAATACTCCTTGACAGGGATTCAGAAGAATAGCTAGTGATAAAGCAGGCGTTACAAGGACAAACAAAAATGAAGCCTGACACTTCTGTTAGGGTGGGGAAAAATATTTTCCACAAGTTACATTCATTTTCCTCTTACAAATAAAAAAACCTCACTGCTCATCAGAAAAAGAAATCTGACACTATCGTTTTGTAAGTTTGAGGGAGAACAGGTTAAAAAGCTTTTGCTGACTGCCTTACAGAAGTATCTAAGCCCACAGAAAAAAATTCCCAAGGCTGCAATTTGAAAGACTACTCAGTAACTGAACAGCAAGGTACATCTCTATTGGTTATATATCTGTGTCCAGTTAAAGTTGGTGAAAATTCAGCAAATAAAATATTAATGGTTCAGGTTAAAAAAACCCAAACAACCAAACCAAATAAACCAACCCCCATGTTATTAGATTGTACATACAAATAAGTTTTAAATCACTATCTACTTCACCATAATAAACAGAAGAATTCTAGGAATGCTTTTGTATATTAGAAAATTCAATTTTGTTTACAATTCCTTGTTTCTATATTCCTGACTATTAAGCGCTCTGTTCCCTATTTGTTTCACAGCGGTTAGCAATATTGTGCTGGTGGGAAACTTGTTTCAAGAAGGACTACTAAAAGGCTGAAAAGTTCTGGAAAAGATGAGTTAACTTATTTTAGTAAAAACTTCCCTGAAGTTCTAAAAGAATGACAGATTACAGACATCCACCACCTACATATTTAATGAGAATGCTATGAAACACATCAAAAAATTCTCTTATTTCCATTTTTAAAACTTGAAAAGGGTCAGTATATATATTAGATAAACTTTTGCTTTTTTACCTTTCCCATAATGATAAAGTCTGGTCTCTTCTGTATAGTCTAGAAACTTGGTTTTTTAATAAAGTGAAAAGCCTATGAATCTCCTTAACATTTATTTCTTTTCATCTATTCAGTGCCACAGGGCAGTAGCATGTAGTGCAACACATGTTGATATTTTTGCAAAGCCCCACATGACTCACTGTACTCTAATACACTCTATTAATCCTGTTTGGACAGCTGTGACTGTGCATTTGTTAGCTGTGTGTTAATTGTTCCATCTTTTTTCTTCTTTTATTTATCTCTATGGCAAACTATTCAAGAATTTCATTTGTTAGTCTTTTTTTTTTTAAGGGAGTTTACCATTAATCTGTTTCCTATGAAAGAACAATGCACCCAGCACATATACTTATTTCCACAGAATCCATTTATTATCAACTGTTAATCTCAGATCGTTAACAATGATTTTATTTTATTTTTTAAATGATGAATGCAGTAACTTAGTGGACACAATACTAATGTTAAAATTCTACTCTAACCCACTAATTTTTCAACATAACACCTTACTCTAAGTGCTAGAACTAGTGTACTACTTAGATCTTTATGTACTGGCTCTATTTTAAAACTGCATTGCTTTAAATACTTGAATTATTCCTTTGCATTTTTGTGAAGTTTTACTACATATTTTTAAAACATGAGCTCTAGAATGTGTATTTTAAGATTCAACCCTCCAAAATGCATTACAGGTTTTTTTGCTATAGAAACAAGCTAGTAAATCTAATAAAACTCATAATCTGTAGGTATACACAGCATGAAAATATATAACATAGTTTACCAGAAAACATTAACTACCCTTGATTTGACAGTATTCTGGTGGAAAAATCAGCTACAGAATTACTGGGCACACATTACTGGTCTGGGGGCCTGAGCTTAACTCCTAAGCTTGTAGTTAAGACTTCTACAGCCCAAGACGAAGATTTTTGTTTTGCTCCATTTCATGTTCCCAATGAAATTAACATTAGCTACAAGTATTCTGCAGCACCTAAACATGCAATGGCCTTGCAATCAAACTTCAAGAATTCAAGTTGAAGATTACCTAATTAAACAAAGTGAAGATACAAAATATCTTGTCTTTCCAAGTGGTTAAAATAATTTTTCTAAATCAAATGCTACTGCCAGTTCGTAACACCAAAATCAGAACTTCTTCATTTCTACTATGCTGGATTCCAAATTTTTCTATTTGAAAACTGAAGTAACAAAGAATGCAAGGAGATTATTTTAAGGAAAATGAAAGTAGCCTAGTATCATTTAATTTAAATTTTTAACCAGCAGTCATTAACTGTTTTTAAAAAGACATTTGCACTCAACTTTATCTCAAATTTTATACCTGAAATCCCCAAATGTATTTTTTCCACAAAAACTGAGCGCTGTAATTTCACAGTGAACGTGAAATTATTTTATAGTGCCCTGAACAAGCAGTCTCCATATCTATTCTTCTCACCATCTCCTGTTTTAAGTTTAAAGTCTGACCTACCTTTTTAAAAGAATATATTCTCTAGAAAATGCTTAGCATCTTTTTATTTAGAATGTACGTTCTGCAGTTCATGTATACAGAATGTATGTTCAATATATGTTGAACAGCTCATATTGGTGTAGAAAAGAAGGCCACACATATATGGTCTTTCTCTTGAAAGTGATGGCAAATTAAATACGTATTATGAAAGGTACAGCTACGGGCTGTCCTTTTTTCCTGGTGTTTTTTTCTTGTTTTTTTTTAAACTCCATTAAACATCCTTTATCACAATGTTTTATACTTCCATTTTGCTTACCCAGTGTCCTTGACATCACTGGCAAAGCAGAGCTCAGCACCAAGATTGAGACACAGTTTCCAATGATCTGTTTGAAAATGACAAACAGCATTTAAATTAAAAATGGGGTTGTTGAAGGGGGACAAAAAAAAAGAAAATTAAAACCAGTGGTAAAGATGAAAAAGAATTCTTGGAAGTTACATTCTTCAAACTGAACCTAAAGCAATTTACAGTAACATTGTTAGTCTTGCTTACTTCCGTCACACTCCTCCATATGGTGTTACACAAGAGGAAGATGATCCAAGAAAAGAGTTAAAAAAAAGAAAATCTAATATGTAATCACTTGCTTTTAATCAAAGTGTTGCATATGCTTAGATTCAAAATAATTCAAAACTAACATGTTGCAAAGCGTCAACTGTTTACTTAATTCCTGCAAACTTTTATAAAAGAACCATTCCATGGGCTTAGAATAGATGACTGATATCAGCTTAAGCTTTGTATGTAACTGCTTGCAGGATTAGCATTATTTAAAAAATTACAACAAAGAACTTCCTTTCAATTGAAAGCCTGTTGACTACTCTAAATAGTACGAAAAAATTCACAGCTGTTAGATTTTACTCTAGTTTTTGTGAAGCCTTTATAAAGGGTAATTGAAACTTTCTCTCACAAGGGATCACTTTCTTCAGCTCTAATTCTATAGGAATTCAAAAGAAAAAAAACAGAAAACTTTTTAAAAGTAGGTAGATATTTGTGCATTCACTATTTATTTCTATGCTATTCCTAGTGTGCTGTAAACAAGGGACAGAAAACATTAAGAACATTCCAACTCCCTACTACCTATTATAACCACTCTATGTGTTTACCTACTTTCTCACTTCCAATAATTTATGGTAAAAATGCCTTTATCCATTACTATAAAACAAGCAAACAATGAAACACATTGAAAGAAAAATAATTAAATTGAACATCTGTTCCTTGGTTACTGAACTCCTTCCTGGTCAGCTACGGGAACATTTTGCCAAACACCTAAGCATGTTCCTCCACATTAGGTAACAGCATTTGTTATTCTGAAGCCAGCACTAAACTGTGGAAAGTCAAATTAGCCTCAGACTCCAAAATGTTGCTGAATAGATCTCCTCAGTCTTAGTTTAATTATTCAAATTTGAATTACTTTCTCTGTATTACTTCTAGCAACCAAGTTCTTCAGATTTCAAACAAGCTCCCTGAAGTACAGTTAGCACAAAGTTACTCATTAGCAATACGTTTCCTTTGAAAAAGTTCTTTCACTAGCTTTTCTATAGCTAGTTAACAAGCTCTGCTATTCCCTGCTTTTTACAAGTGAATGGATGCCATCCAAACTAAACAGAGCACATCCTTTTTCCCACTCATTCAGCGTTTTGAAAATCTTCCAGTTTGTGTTTACGCAGCTTACAAACAAATACTGATCGCTGCAAATGAGCCATTCAGGGCAATTACTAACTAAAAGAGTCAGTTTGTCTTGGGTGGCAAGAAAGAGAGGAGGGGGCCATCACCGACTTAACCTTACCTTTGTCATAGTTGTGTCATCCTTCCTGGGAGTGAAATTTTCAAAAAAACGAAGACTGTAGAAGCCGACGACAGAGGATACCATAAGATAGCTGTGAGAATCAAGGAAAAAGGAACCTCCAAGGAATGCAAGTTTCACTCCAGTTCTCAGCAGTCTCCTAAAAGTCTCAAGAACCAAAGAAAAAACAAAAGCAAAAAGACTTCGAGTGCTTGAGAAGGACTGACCCACCTCTTTCTTCTTTCCAGGCAAGTGTCTTAGTAAATTACCAGTGTCCCAGAAAACTAGATAGAATACTTGTTAACAGACAGAATTCTTAAAGAAAGGATACAAAATCAAAATGATTTCAAGTGCTGCTCCCACAAAACCAAAGGTGGATAGGGAGGCATTTCCTATTCCAGGCCCCTACAAGGAAAAAAACACTTTGCATAATTTAAAAAGATACATGCAACTCTTCCGAAAGTTCATTTCTACCAGGCCCAAAAAACCTAACACCTTAGAGGAAATACAGCCTTTTCTCAATTCAGTATTTAAGGGGCATTCTAATGTTCTAACATAACTTCTTAAACTGAACATTTCTAGACCACATACAAGTAGGAGACATGAGTAAAATGCTAATTCCAGATTACTTATTTACTTTACTGAATCACTGTATCTTCATAAAGATTCTGGACTAGTTTTATTAATAGCTCACTATAACATGACATGTAATAAACATTTATGTGTGCACAAAACCAAAACCTAGAAAGTTGAAGCTCATTAGTTTCAACGTTATCAAAGCAGAAGTTCTCACTTGCACTTTTGCGAGGGCTTCAAAGCATTACTAAAAGTTATAAAAATTGTAAGAGAAGTTTACTTTACCCCTGATCCCTTTGGCATTGCAGTCTCATCAACCAACAGGTAAAGAATGTTGAGAGCGACTAAGAGGACCGAGAAGGACTATAAAGAAGTAGAAACAGTCCTGTTATTTAAAAGTATTCAACATTTTTAAAATGTATACATTTATCCTCATGAGATTTCACAACGTTAAGTTCTTTTAAAATGGTCAAGAAAAGAGTATCAAGTTTGCTGCTTAAAGACACATCACTTAATTTTAAAAGTATTCCCCCAAATGACCGAAGAATTCTTTGTACTTTTCGCTGGAAAAAAAGAAAAAGAAAAGAGAGCAAAACTGCTTACTGTCTCAATCAGTAGCAATATCATAACAGCTGGATAGACTAAATTCCTTTCCCAAGCAGAAGCTTTTTTCCGCCGTTCTGTTCAGAAGAGAAAAACAGAAGCTTAATACCATAGGTCACCTTAGAATAAAACAAGTAAAAATCATTCAGATATCTATAAACTGTTGTAACTATAGGTAATAAAAATAATCTTATCTTGAGCTGATGACAACCAGTTCATAAAAATATCCACCCTGAAGAGCTGTACAAAGCAATGCCAAAAACATGAAGCCTCTTTAGAGAAAGGCTGCAGAGACATACGGAAAAATCTACTGCATGTCTGTCTTGTTTACAGGCATCTTTCACTGTAACATTTTGTTTCCTGGCATACAGCAGTTTTGCAAAGTTTAAAACACACTGAATTTAAAATTATGCTGTTTACACATGTATTTTAGTATGACCTAAAAGGACAAAAGGGAATTTCTAATATTTAAATAGTATTTTCCTCTTACAAGGTAAGACAGACAAGGCTGACTCACCAGACATCAGTAGTACGTCTAAAAAGAAAACTCAACAACTTTTTTCTTACCACAGTCTTAGTTTTACACATAACACATTGACAAATGAAAAATCCTGCAAGTCTTTGAATAAGGAGCTTCCTGTTGAGTGGCTGCCATTACCAAAAATATCACTTTTCAGTTTTGAAAGACAAAGACCTGCTAAGAATTATTTGACTGTTCTTAAACACAATCCGAATTCTATAGAAATAATTTAAAAACAGTGAGGAAAGTAATGTCTTAGATTATCCCAAATAATAAATACATCATTATATATGAAAAGACCATGCTATTGAACTCCATGCAAGGGAGTCAAGAGTGTAACACTTTCTGTAAAACTATGTTAAAAATAAGATCCCAATCAGACTCCCTCTTAAATGTGTTTGTTGGAGAGGTGCAATGATTCCATGTGATGTATTTGTAGGAACAATGACAATTTGAAAGGACTGCAAATGCACAGATTTGGTTAAGAACAAACTGGAATCAATCAAGTGACTGCTACAAGCTAAACACAGCATCTTAGGATCATTTATTAAACTGCAATCCATAGGAAACAGTAGAAAAAATTACCTAGATTCATTTTCTTGCTTTTCACTTTTTCAAGCTCCCGTTCCAACTCTACTGTCTGGTATTCCACCGTGGAAGATACACCTTTTAGAAAAGACAACAATGTTTTCATTTAGAAGAGACTAACTACAGTACTGTAAGACACACTGTGATAATCAGATTTAGGAAGCATCACATTAACACTTGTGGCTTTAAACTGCAGGTGTTTGAGACTCTTTGACTACATTTAAAAAAAACAAAAACAAAAAGAACCCAACAGAGGCTTAGTCCAGAACCCTCTAATTCTGTCTAACCAGAGGAGCTGAACACATCAGAGGTTTCACAGTGTGACCTTCTGCAATCCCTGCCTATTCTGCTGACCAGCTGCTGCAAGAAGTAAGAAAACAACGGAACTGTCACACAGGTCCAAAAACCAGTCATGGTGTGGCAGACTGACACAGGATGTCTCAAATGCCTCCTTCTTCTGCCTCTATGAGTCGTACATCAAGACATAATAAATCTCTGGATGCCCTTCAAGGGCATCATTATTTAGCAACATAGAGACAAAGTGGACCTTTGCCTCCAAACTAAGCTGCTGGCTGGACCTCCAGTTTCAGTTTCTGCCTCTCCCTCCCTTTTCCCCAGAGTCCTTTTTACTCAGCAAACCCAGATTCCATACTGCTGATCTGCTTGTTGACGTACCTTCTGCTCATGTCAGTTTGCCTGATTTGGTCAGCCTCTGAGCCGCAGAGCTCCCTCTGACAACCACAATCAGATCTTCCTTACAACCACCCATGAGATCATATTCCTTCCCAGTTTGCAGCATGTGCATGTCACTGCTGTGCAACTCCTAAAACTCCTCTACACCAGCTGAAGACTGACAACCATAATACTAATTCCTCTCTCCCTTGCTAATTTTCTGCCCAAAAGTCCCTCGGCAACTCTTCCTCCATCCCTATGCAGTCTCTAGGGAGCCCAGCCCATTTTCCCCTCTCCATCATTTTTCTCTTCAACCTCCCATTCCCTTCCAACCACCCATCTTTTCCAGGGCAAGCACACTGTGGTTTCTCTCCTTGATTCCAGCTGCTCTACAAACAGTGCACGGTGTTCAAGCAATAATACAGTTCTAAAATGCTGACTAGAGATCTGCTATTTCCGTTCTGATCTTATTATGTCTACTGAAGCTTTTATTCTTTGCCATCACAAACTGGAAATACTCTTCCCAGGATACGTTAGAAACACTCTCCACCCATCTTTGCTCCACTTGCATCCCTTTTATTTCTGAATAATCTCACCTGAAAGTAAGGTAAGAGGGCTCATATTTTCCCTGTCTACTCCTGGCTAATCTCACTCTGCAAAAACACTCTGTGGCAGTGACAGTTCAAGGTCTTAATAAACCCAAAGTCCTATCTTTTTTCTTAATTTACATTGACATCCTTCACCCGGCCATTCCTTATCTTCAGCCTCACCTTTGATTGTGGGCTAACCTGTAATAGCACCATGTTGCAGATATCCTTTTTTTTTTTTTAAACACACTCTAATAAATTTCTGTGAGATTAATAGTCTTGTCCAGGCCTTTATCTCATATCTTGACTATTTGCCTACAAAAACTAAACAGCATTTAGGATGCTTGCACGCTAATACTACTTTATAGCCCAGTCTCATTATTTCCGTATATTCTGTTGTCTGCTCATCCATCCAGCAATCTCAGTACAAGGTGGTAAATTTCTCATCCCACCCAACCCTCACATTCTCCTTATTCCAGCACACTGAGGTCCTACCTGAAAACCAAGATATAAAAAAGCATTTCTTGAATTATTTTTTTTTTTAATTTTTACTCTTTTTATTTTAGACTATTAATACTGATTTGTTCAATGCAGTCAAATTATCAGTAAGGCATCCAACCATTTCAAAAATTCATTTTTAAATGTTTAACTGCATGCTTCTTTCACACGCATTTTTGCGTATAACACACCACCTCTGTGCTATGCCTAAACATTTATCTTTGATATCAGTGCCATAATGTATACGCGCTAATACTTGCAGGGCTTCAAATATATAAATATCTCAATTCCCAGGACTAACCAATAAGACCTACAAATGCTGTTTTGTAACAACTTCTATTCACTTGAAGTACCTGCAATATGAATGTCAGTTTAATTTCTCAAATTTTTTAAATAAGTAATCTTATTATGGGGCGGTTTAGAAAAAGTTGGGTTTTTTTTAAAAAACAAATCTCATTATCATTATGAAAATAAGCTTTTGTGCTGATGCATTTCCTCCAAAAAAGTCTAAAACATCTGTTTTATGGAATGACTAACTACTACACGTTGAGAAAAAGGATAGCTATAGAGCTCAGTGGAAAAAGTCTCAAGGATCTGAATGGAAGCAGTCAAACAAGTAAGAAAACTCAAGTTAGATCTGACTTTTTTGTCTTAATCTGTAATTGATTTAGGGGTCTCTGAGGTAAATTTTGAATAAAGATATAAAAATCAGAGCTCAACACACCGATATTCATGGGAGTCTTTCCAACAAAGTCAGCGTGATCACATTAGGTCCCTAAGAGACATTTCAGTAGACATTCCAAATCATATTTAAGTGCTGTTGTAGTTCCTCCTTAAAAATAGTAGCAAACAACAGGTTGCTATACAAAAGGATATTTTACGAGAGGGGAAGGCAAAGTTTCAGATCAGTCAAAAGAGTATTTGAAAAGGATGCAGCTAAATTCTTAAAAGCTCTATAACATTAGCTTTATTTCAAACATGCACAAAGTTCAATGTCAGCGCTGTCTAGCCAATAAATCAAATTGGTAGACGAGACCTGTTTGGACTAGCAATGAAAAGTTAGAAGGGATTCTCCAAGAAAGCCACAAAGCAGCTCATTTAAGGTCAATTTAACGGTATTATTCTGTTTTTCTTCCAGCCCGACATAAGATTTCAGTACCTCAAAGGAAATTGTAAGAGTATCTATTTGCATTCCCCCTAGGTGATTGGCAGTTCAACACCAATTAGTTCAAAATTACACTGTTACTAGCGTGCAATAAAAACAACACCTTTCATCTTTCTTACCTATGTAAGGATACCTTCAGAGCCAATAACTTTGATCAAGTAAGTATTTTTGATCCTACCCCACCCGTCTCTCTGGATTCAGGAAAACTAATAGCTGAAGGCAACTTTTTTCTTTTAATATAAAAAAGTCCCAGCTTTATTCTTCGACTGTAGGAGTGATGTGGGTACTGAAATATAATACACTGGAAACAAACCTTTTCCTAAAGCCCAGTATGTCTTCAATAGATAAAAATACTAGGGTAGATAACACGATCAAACTTTCCCCTCCCTCCTCCTCTGATTTTCAGTTATACACTGGAGACATCTGAGAAGGAAGAAAATGAGTTTCCGCAAAGAAGATATGCGGTTTCGCAGTTAAATTTATTTTCAAATATGAAGAGCTTTACAGAATACTCCAGCAATTGCATCACTGCCACAATAGTTACACCTATATGAATCAAGAAGGGCCCCAGCTCACACAGCTAAACATTTTTCCTTCTCTGAAAACAGAGGTTTTACCCAGCCTATTCAGTGCAAACAGTGATTCGTGTTACCCCTTCCTATGTCCAGGCATTGCCTGAGGAAATATTAATTGGGACAGGGCAAAGCAGTGCTAGGAGTGTGATAGCAATTATTCCACCAAGAAAAATGAAAAACCAGCTTTGACAATCACCAAGTGTCACTTAAGCCTGTGCTCTGGTCCTCTTCAATTTTAGTAACAATTCAACTCTTTGGTTATACATATAAATGGAGTATATATTTCAGAACACTTTACTGCAAAAGTGTCCAGCACGGTTACTTGAGCACATATATTTCCACTACCACAACTGTGGAAGAGTTGCAACAGCCATATATAGCCTAATATATCTGCTCCAATACAGCAACAAAAATAACACACAGATTGTGTAAATCACAGATTACAGCCTCTAACCTCACAGCACTACATTTATTGATGTAATTAGCACCACACCTCCATTTGTACACATTTTTTAAAAAATGCAATAAACATGATAAGCATGAATATTCATAGTTCTGGCAGAAACGGTACCTATTTTTCTGACATAATTTGTACGTATTAGAAAGACTTCTGGCAGAGATGAAGCCTTCCATGCTTGCCACATAAATGGCAATTACTTAAATAATTACTCACAAAAATCTTGCAGAGTATCTTATTGTGCATATAACATATTGCCCTCCACCTACATGCTCTATCCAAGTTCAGATTTTTATTTACTTTTCAGCTTAAGTCCATTAATCTTCTCTGTACACCAAGCTATGGCTTTTCAAGCAGCCCTTCAGACAGTGGTGTCGATACCATTCCCTCAGCACACAAAACAGAATTCAGTTCCCTCTCCTGTCAAAGGACATTCAAACCCCACATCTTTCACCTCGCAAGAGTAGGCTGGTGAGAGCTCTGTGGAACACGGGTGGATTGCAGTTCCACTTAACGTGGGATACTAACTGATTTGCTGAAAGAGAATCCAGCCTTTCAGCTAGCGGTTAGGGAGCCACCTGCATGCGTCCTAAATCCACATCCAGTTAACAGCTGCCTACAAACAGACTAGGTCCACCTCACAAGTGATATTACTAAACTGCAATATAAACAACTGTTGCATAGACTTCTATGCAGAGAAACAGTAGACAATCATCACCTAAATAATCACATTCTCCAGCTGAATAGCAGAAACCACTCTGCACTACTTCTCATAGATACTTGAATAACTATTGGGTCATTTTTCTGTATCACTTTTCTTGTACATAAGCACAATCACCATGACAACATAAAATATTCCGTAACAAGTATTTTATAGTTGCTAGCTAACATCAAACACACAGAACAATTATAATTACCCCATCACAGCTTCAAAGACATTCACAGCACGCACCTTTTTGTATGTCTGTATGTGTATGCATATATATGTATGCATATATACATGTATGCGTGTCAGTATACAAACTAAGCTTCCAAAACAGCAAAGGTGAACATTACTTTGAAACCATTGCACAAAGAAGTCACTACTCCTCCACAAATTTTAAACGTTGGAATAAAGATGACCACCATGATCTACTGTTATCAAAAGGTACTTTCCCTGACTAAGCAACTTCCAAAGGAGACTTACTGAGAGTTGAAAGATTGAGATATATGACAGAAGACTGAAGAGAAAGGCAGGACATGAAGAAAACAGAGGCTAAAATAAGTCTTAAGACAACACAATGGATGTGTCATGACATGAATATTCTCTGGTTTTCCAACCTGAAGCAATTGTATAAGTTGTAGATGGATGCAGATTCATGCAGTTAAAAGCACTTCAGAAGAGAATGTGTCCAACATGATTTCCAGGTTTACAGAATTAATCTTTTCCTAACTGGTGCCTCCCATACTGCAGTACTCTCTCTCAGAAGCCAAAGCTTCATACTGCTTTTGAAATACTTCAGAACAGAAACACTTTATCAAGAAATGCAAAGTTGTAACATTAAATACAAGAAGTCCAAAATATTTGTATAATTATTCATTAATAGAATTATCAAAATTATTATATTCACCAAAGAGCTCCTAGAATATAAAGGACTGCTCTGAATTATTACCTAAGAATCTAAATAATAATAAACTGAAACAGAAAAATTCCTTCAAATAAAAACCAAAACTCATAATGCAGGAAGTTGAGCCTCTTGCTACTATAGTTCATTGTTCTTCAGACAAGGCTAAAACACAGTCATTTACCAACCCAAACTATTTTGCAGTAAGGGTAGTGGGTCTGGTCAATGACTCAGCTTGCTTTCTTAGTCTCAGAATATGCACATATTAGAGCTGATGAACATTAAAACCAAAAATAAAGCAAACTACATAGACGCAGGAGTCAATCTTCAACAACACAAGTGAGCAACGAAATGTAAGCCTACAACACTTGTTACACACTAAGATGTTGAAATTTTCTATTTTGAGAGAAAAGGCTATGTAACAGTGAGATCAATACTTGTGACCAGAACCAGCCTACTCTACACACTGTATTTGAAGCAGTATCAGAACAAGCATACCGTTAAGCCTCCTCTGAATTGCTTCTTCCTCTAAAGTGATGATATACATCTGCTCATCTAGGTCTTCAAGGATCTGTATTTGGAAACAGAAACATGAACTGACTATCAGAGTCACTTGTTTTTCTGACTGCACTCATCTAGTCAGGTTTGTTTTGTTCTAGTAACGTATATTTTAAATACATAGTCTACAGCTTTACAATACTGACACAAATAAGATCTCCACAAAGGATTATTCCATTCTGTCACAGATCTACTTCTTTGCTGTGCAAACTTGCTGTTCAGTTTTCATTTCAGATTGAAGCTCTTACGTTCAGTTTCAATCTAAAGAGACTTAGGGAACGTGGGACGGGACAGTACATCTGACCTATACTCAAATCATTTCTAAGGAAAAAAATAACCCATCAACCTTCACATTCAATTTGATTTAAATAAAAGTAACTGCAGATTTTCAAACAGTATATTAAGAAGTGACTTTTCACATAAGTCAGTATTTCAAGCAAATATAAATTGCTATTGGAAGCTAAATCCAAATAAATGAAGTCTGTCTACCTTACCACCAGGTGCTTTGAGTTTAAAGCTTACAGACAGCAAAACACTATGTATTTTCTTTGTATTTTCAGGGTTGAACTGACTAATGAAAAGGAATGCAAGGCCTGAGCATGACCAAATTTTAGTAAATACAAACTAGGAAACATGACAGCAAAGTCACTAGAGCACTTGTACCGAATGCTGTGAGGGAAAGGAGAAGTTTGTACCGTGTGCAAGAACAGTAGAGTATTTACATATAAGAAGTTCTTACGGATGCCAACTACCCACATTTCGCCCATCTCAGTGTACCCCCAGGTGCCCTTCTTGTCATCCAGCCTTAGTTTGGTCACATAGCCTTTGCTCCTCAACTCGGAACAAGCCCGTGCTTTTCAGGCATTTGCAAAACAGACATAATAGACAATACTGGCAATAAATATTAATACTAATAGCAGTTACATAAATTGGAAAGTCAGAGAAAGTCTATACTGTTAAAAAAAAACTTTTGCTGTGGAAGAAAACAGGTTTTTGTGGTATATGAAAAATTTTAAACAAGTAAATAAATACTGATTATAGAAACTCTGATGAACTGAAGAAGGAATTATGTAGAAGTGCAAGCATTCTAAAAGTACCCTAATGCCATTCTACCTTCTAACACACACGAGGACAGCTTTCATAACACTTACTGTTGGCTTCACCAGCAACTGACCCATTACTGTAAACATCCGTGAAAGCCCCACTGGCGTGCATACTGCAGAGGAAGAAAGATGATGCAAAATGGTGATTTGTAAGTCAAAGACCAATTTTTATTTGGATGTTCAATGCACTATTCCACATATAACCAGGTGTGGTTGTGAAGAGAACTGTGAAAGCTTCAAACTCCAGTAAGAACTTCAAAACACATTGCTATTGTATGAACAAGACAAGCATCTCTCCCCTCCAAGAGCACAACTATAAATTTTTTAATTTTTTTTTTGTTAACAAGGAACACCATATAATCAGATATCTTAAACATGCTCATGTAATTATTTATTCAAAGCACGTGGCACCAGAGGCTATGTCTACACCAGTAAATTCAGCAGCACCAGGATACATTCCTGGGCACTAAGACTTGATTGGCTACACCAGTAAATTGCTAGAACTATCCCTGGCATGATTTGCCCTGGGCCAGTTAGCACTTTCCCAAACAATTCCCAGGTGCAGTTCTGGAGCTCACACAGTCCAGGAACCACAATCATGAAGCAATATGTACACAGCTACCTTCTGCAAACTGCAATATCATGGATGGAACAACAGTAGCCTGGAGAACATCGCAGGCACATTTAATCTATTAGCACACATGTAGCAGGTATGGTCAAGAGATCATGGAGCTGCTTTGCTCTGAAAGTTATACTGCAACTTCAATTGCTAGTAGGCTCAGCCTCCAGATTTTAATGAAATTTTCTATGAAATAACAGTTGGCCCTTTTTGATCATAGCCTGTGATGGTTTCCAGGTATGATGCATGTATGTTTGTTGGGCAAACCATGCTAATAGAAAATTATTAGTAAAAATCAATAGTTTAGGAAGAACAGACCTCAAACACTGTAGCGTGTAAGATGGAAGAAATTTGTAACAGCATGGATGAGGATATACATTTATAGTTTTCATTATAATAAAACAGCGTTGTCAAAAAAAGGAGCAGCAGTGCACAAGATTTTATAGTGAGGATTACATTTATTTTTATTCACTAGTGTTTCACTATGACTACTAGGTATTACAGGAAAAATCCAAGAGTATTCAAAAAGGCTAACTTAAGCTAGTCTTCCTTTACTACAGAGGAAGACTACAGGAAAAGGAGAAAAAAGAAAGGAAGCAATACTCCAAATCACCCCTGCAAGCCTTACTCATACCCAGCTTCAGCAATTAACCCAGCTGAAGATCTCATGAAGCTCTAGCCCAGCACCTACCACTTTACCACTGCTGCCATTTCAGCTACAGAGACATAACAGCTTGGAGGGCCTTAAACTTCAGTGATTTGCTTGTATAAATTACAAATAACTCTTCCAAAAATTGGCATTTAATCTCAATTATTTTGGTGGACTGGTTTGCAATAGCCCCAGAACACACTGTGTTTTCAGCTCTGCTGAAACCAACTGCAAAACAGATGTAGGAAGTTTGTAAGCCAACTTCCCCATTAAAACATTCAACAACTGTTGCGAATCACACTCTTGAACAGCCTGAGACATTCAGAACTACTTACTTTTTTTTTCCTTTACCCTCTCCCCACCCTTAAAGTGGATTTAAGAATCTTCACATACAGAGAACCTATCGAGACTCACCCAGGTCTCTCTGAGCAACACCTTGCAGAGACAGATCTGCTCAGTTTCCCCACCCCTTCTGCACAGTGACAGTCCTGTAAGTGTCAGCTGTAAACCCCTAAAGCCTGGAGAACAGGTGAAACCGTGATAATCTAGGAAAGGGAGATGTTCTGTCCCCCTCTTGGCAATTTTCTAGGAAGGGCCAAGGGCGGGGGGGCTGAAATTATAAATGGGATTTGGAGTCTTCCATCATCTTTCTTCTTCCCTTATACATGGATGGCTGAACTCTGGCTAGGACCAGTTAGTATAAGGGGGGGTTACTGCATTTGTTTTATATGCAGTCATATCACTGACCTCCAGACTGGCCAGATACCAGTTTTGTGATTATGAAAACTAATTGTACTCAGTTCCAACTTCTGTCTATACATGAAGATTTTCAGTTAAAAAAGGAAGAAGGATTGTTTACTGAATATAGGACAACCTAAGTGTTCCAAAATAACTCTCCATACTACTGACCTCCTGCAGACATTTCATTTTAAAATTGTGCTTTTCTTTGCAGAATCCAGTCCCTATTTTTTAAATACCTGCTTTAAAAAGTTAAAAATTGAAATTATTTTGGGTGAGTGTGAAATTCTTCAAAACCTCAAAGTATAAGGTAGCATTTGTTCAAACTTCAAAACCTAAACCTAACAAATTTACATTTAAATTTAAACTTAAGAATAAATGAAAAAAATCCCACTCTTTCATTGTGAAAATTAAGACTGTGAAAGTTAAAACAGTTTCCTTTCATGTTCAAAAAATATCATTCATCTTTTGGAATAATCAGGAAAATACTTACAGAGAAGTAACAAGCATCCCATCAGTGATATACAGGAATATAAATACGGGAGGTAGAATTCCCAGAGGTCTGTAAAGAAAATATTGAGCACAGCTTTAGCTTATTAAGTAATAAGCTACTTATGCCAAACAACTGAATTAACTTCTTCAGCATTCAGGATTGAACAATTGTATTTTCAAGAATAAACTAAGAATGTCAGTTAATAATCCTGCAGGCAACTAAATCCCCATGTACTTTAGCCTGAAATACATCTTCAGCTTTTATCACTTAAGTCACTTGTTTTTAACATAACTTGTGCTCACATAAGCATGGAACTTCTCAGTATGCTAAAAACAGATTTAACAGGAAAAAAGGTATTGACTAAATTAATACGGCTTCTTCACAACCTGTGCAATACTCACAGAGCATTTACTAGAAATACATTTAACTGAAAACATCCATTTCTATAATTAAAATGAAACTAGTGTGATGTTTTTATAAATGCCATACCATACAAAGACTCCATACTGGCAGCATCATTGTCTATGAGTGCTGAAGCCACCCACACGATTCCAAGGATAAGCAGTGCAAGAAGAATAAGCATTACAAGGGTTTCCAAAATGCGTGCTCTGATGCCCTGTGGGCAGAAGAGGGGAGAGGGAGGAAAGAACATGGCCAAGAACTTTCAATCAGATATTTTCAAACATAAGAAAATTACAAACAAATACCAGTTCCTTCTTCCTAAATACATACTCACATTTTATCATGTAGACAAAAGCATAACACATAATGCGCATTTAAAAGGCAGTGCATAAAAAAAGGAAGTACTTATGGCTTTATACAGCCTAGATTGAGTTTTTCCCCTTAAAACCACAGAAAAATGTTTTAAACTGTGTATGCCTTACAGTTCTCATTAATCTCATTACTCCATAAAGTATTCTTTATACCATATGATTTTGTTCGAGCATTTTTAAAAGATGGATTACTTTTCTAATACTTTCAGCAAAGAAAGTGGATTAGCAAATTTTTATCTATGATTCCAATCAAGGGAATGGAAAGCCAATTATGGCAAATAGCCAAATGGCCCAGCAAGCATTAAACCCTGCGCAGGTACGATGCGCCAATTTAGTTAAAATACATTCTTCAACTGCAATTGCTTCTGCACCATTCCTCGCAGTCTTCAGAGCCCTCAAGCGTACCGTCGCAGTACTGCTCGCTCTTGGCCTGCCCACTGAGCGACATCCATTACCTCCCAGCTTTGCGTGCTCCGCACTGAAAGAAACACCTATGGCTCGCTTGCTTACACCGCACGCAAGTCACAGGTCTACCAGGTTATATCACAGTATTTGCTCCTGAGTCTAGAAATGTAACAACACTCTAATAGTCGAGTGTTAGATTTCAAAATGTAAATATACCACGTAATAAACAAATTTTTTTATTTTTAATTTGGCATTTTTAACACTAATTTTACTAATTTCAAGCAACAGAGCTGTTGGGACACTTTCTTCAGACATCCTTGCCATTAATGGGATTGCCATTCACATAACTTTTGTTTTTCTTCATTGGCCACTATACATCTCCACAAGTAAACCCGACCTCTTGTTTCTCACACAGGTTCACCCCATCTTGGGCATATTCCACTGAAAATTCTACTTTATAGTTATAAGTAGAAAGTTTGTTTAACATTTGTCTACTTTTATCACCTCTTCCCTCACTGCTTAACACAGGGTAATCCTTACGTGACGTTTACCCTGAAAATTATGCTCCCTACATAACCACTGCATCCAACCATGAATGAGGACCTCGGGCATCCTAACCACGAGCATTGATCTCATCTAGCACGTCCATTCCTCTCTGCTATCAGTCAGCTGCAGAACAGCTAAGGTAGCACAAAAGCAAAACAGACCAAAAAAGCCCTTCATAAATTCCCCTTAAGGCTTAAGCAGGCAGATTAAGTCCAATTCCATAAAGGATCTCAAACACCAAATTTCAAATTAAATGTAGTATGGATAGGATACGGATTTACTCCTAGAATGTATTTTGTGTATAATGAAAGTGGATTTGAGATTGTTAAGTTATTAAAACATATTTTTGTAGTGCTCAGAAACTAGCCTTCAGTCTTCCATGAGTTTTTTGAAGATCATTTAAGCCAAATATAGGTATTTGAAGATTAAATAGCCATATTTTTGAAGTTGTGAACTCGAGCAATAAGTTACCAGAAAACAGGTTACAGTTTAAGTACTCAGCACTGATACAGAGCCTTTACTTTACAACAGAAGTCACAAGATTAGAAGAAAACCCACAAGTCGATTGTTTAGTCAGGAGAAATTGTCTCATGAGCTCCTACGATCACTGCTTAACATTCCTATGGAAACTAAACAGACTATAAGAAAGAGGAATGGGAAAATACTTTGTATTTTTAGTTTTCCATATTTTATTCAAGAAGGAGAATGAAGTTGTCCAAGTCTTCCTCTAGTCCTCCTTTCCTAATGGTTCTGGCAGGTAAGAATAAGAGAAGGACGCAGTGTACAACGAAACAACTTGCATCAGTTTTTTCAGAAAGTTGTTCTAGATCACAGCTTTGAAACCAGCATTTGATAACACAAATACTACTTCATTCCTGAGATGTCCTTCATTACAAACAGAATGCATATACCACAATTAATTCAGTGTTTTATGAATTATTTGAATGAAATTAAACTTGCAATTTAATCTGTTTTAAGGAAGGAGGGATTATTTATCTCCAGACCAAGCAAAGATCACATAGGAAAGCACCAGAAGGATACCTCCAGGACATTGACACAATGAGGAAAAAAACCTGGTTTGCATCTATCCTACATTCTTGTATTTCAAGAAGAATTCAGCACTAAGATGCCGACTGAAGCAAGTTAGAACTGTCTATACAGCTGATGAAGGGGGGGGGCATAAGGAGAACAATCTCAACACCACTATCAATTAAAATATCAAACTCGGATTTCAGTACAGCATTAACTACACAGCCTTAAATAATGCTCCCACACTGTAGACTTATGAGATGAACACAACCATAGCCTTTAGAAATAATTAAAAACATTCCCCTCCACCTCAGGCTAAAATGTGTTGTTTTAAAATATGGTGCTAAGACAATTCTAAAAGAGAAGAGTGAGCTCAGGCAATACACTTGCTTTATTTTCAGGAAGACAAGCTGACCCCTCCAGTACTTCTATTAGCATGTCAATTTTAAGAAGGCTAAATTCCTTAGTTTCTCTTGGGCAATTACTGCTGAGATGCTGGATAAGTTGGAGAGTAGCAAAAAAACCACACCAAGACTTTAAAATCTTTTTTACAGTGTTACAAATACCAGATATCAAAAAGAAAACCACAAACTATATAAAATGTAATTGAGCTTGAAGTTATAAAATTAAATGGGGAATGAAAATACATGGTATGGTGGTGGTTTTTATACTTCCACTGCTACACACTAAGAATATTGCTGTGACTTCAGCTTACATTTGTGTGCACAAGGAGAGAGGAGTGGGAAAGAAAAAAGGGAAGTAGGAGGTCCTAGGGAAAAAAAAAAAATATTCCTTTGAAAAAAACTTGTCTAGAATAAAGCCTGGGATTAGAAAGACCATTTGCCAGCCAGGAAGATTAGAAAATCTCAATCTGGAACCCGGACACACAGTCCTCAAAGAAAATGGATGAAGCAATGTAGACCATGGTTACTTCTCCAGACACTCCCTGAAGATCTCAAAACCAAGCTTGACATGGTTTTATTACCGAGAAGGGGCTTAGGAAGCATCCACACTTTTGCAGGTGTTGCTCTTACACCACCACCCCCCTCCCCAGGACATGCAGAGAATACAGAAGGCTATAAAACACTATGAAGAAGGAAAAAAAAAAAAAAAGATATTAACTGGAAGTGAAACAGAAAAACAGAAAGGGACAGGAATAACAGCTGAAAGAAAGGTAGCAGCATTGGGAAGAAAAACCTGATCTTTAGTCTTCAATTTGTACACCAATTTCTCTGTAGGTCTGAAAATGAGAGGAATGTTGTTCCAGGGATGGACCGAGGGCCATCCTTTGGGAAATATGAACCACAATTTGAAGGAAGGTGGCACTTCTCTTGCTGGACAGTGATTTAAGTTTTAGTAGCCCAATTTTAAAGTCTTTTTCCATGAAGGCATCTAGAAGAAAACATCAACTGTCATTGCTTCCAGCACTACAAGCACGTAAGAGGATCTGTAGTAACTGCTGAATAGCAAACCAAAACATATCCAACAGCTTGCAATTTCCTCAAGTGAGTTTCAGATTATCCATAAAGCAAAACAGACTTCTGAAAGTGAATTACCTGTGTGGTTCCCTACTGTCAGGGAAGCAGAAGCTTGGCATCATACAGGCCAACCTGACACATAAAAGGAGTCTCTTGTGGAGACTATTAAAAAAAAAAAAAAAAGAGTCCAGAAAAAAATTTTTGAAGCTAATTACTACAATCTGATAGAAATTACAATTAAACCATTTATCAAGAAAATCAGGAAAAAAGACTGACAGATTATACCCTCTAACCCCCCCCCCTTTTTTTTAAACTTCAAAATTTCACAGCCTAGACTCAACAGCTCACCTACATTTTCACTCACAGCATATTTTCAAAATCCACCTAGCTCTTTAACTAGAGCGCTTAACCAAAGGAAATACGTTTTTAAAGGGAAGATGTTCAACACATGAATCCCAGCAGCGTGGAACTTGCCAGAAGCCTAGTAAGGTCTGTCATTTTCTCTGTATATCAATGAGGGGGAAAATAAAAAAAAAAAAAGATTAAAAGATGCATGCCTACAAATAAAAGCTGTCCTACAAACACATTCTAAGGTTCTTGTGGTTTGTACAGCCTTAGAGATAGCTGACTCTCAGACTTCTTCAAAATTCAATTCCTGAGACATTCAGAAGTTTTCTTATTGTTTAATCCCGATCTACTTACACTGCCTGGAGCAGCAGGCCTATGGGTTCATGTTTCCAGAAAAGCCTAATCTTAGCAAGAAAGGTTTTAACTATTCTAGAACTGTTCTGACAAATTTTTAGTTGATACTCTGGAAGGCATCATCAAAATCTTACCATGTTTCTTCCCTATTATGATTAACACAGATAAATCATCCTGGATGATAAATATCCCAAACATATTAAAAACCAGCTCATGGCCAAAAAAGGCAATTCTTCAGCTGAAAAGCCCAATGAAGTACAAATGGCAACAACAGTCCTGAAGGGATGGCAGATGTCATACAAGACAGCAAAAACCATTTCTCCTGCCCAGTACATTTGTGTTACGCAGGATGACTGTTATGCCAATCGCAACACATGAAGACTTTGTCCACTCTGTATGTTCACACATAACACCTAGAGGCTGGTTTTTACTTTGTAAGAGAACGTACGTTTGGTGATAGTTTCTAACAGCTTTTCAATAAGGAGAATGGAGATTTCTTGATAATGGAGACAGAAATGTAGGGTGGGTTTTTTCCTCCATTTGAAATTCGATGACTAATTTTTAATGATATAAATATAATACTTCAAAATGCTTTGGTAATAAGTTAGCAGAGGTATGAAGACCTTGCTGTGCACACCGATTGTCCACAAAGTTTCAGATGTTTTGCGTAACTAGCAATTAGC